CACCTGCAGTGCTTACAGGTCTTACCTGTAACTAGCAAAATAATATGAATCTGTAGGTATTCACACTAATTATTTAATTGGTTCAACAGTAGCACGGTAGAAACGAAGTATTACACTGATAAACCAGCGAGAATCTGGCAAAGGAATACCGATATAAATGCTGGCCTGCATCTTTTTCAATTCCCAATTCAAAGGAATAACACTTCTTTTGTAGGTCATTTTTCCCCTCAAAGCTGATTAACAACCATCCTCACAAATAACCTCAAACATCCCATTGCATCCTAGTGTCACAACACAAGAAGGCAACAACCCACCTGTATAATCAATGAATATACAGATGTTATAATTAAGAAATATACCCTTGTCCTGGGCTCACTGAGAAGCCTCCAAGAGGAGCAATCTCCAAAAGAGACCCTTCCCCAGTGGCAGTCAGCTCTTAAATGGGGTGTAGGAGAGGTGCAGCCAGGCACAGGAGAATTGCCTTCACCTGTGCTCCCAGGGCTGACTCATTGCTTACCTCAGGCAGTCAATCAGAGGTTCAGGCTGTGATTCAGCAGTTCAGGGGTTCCCATACACCACCAAAATCACAGTGTCACTGATCAGACTGTTTGCCACGGGATTTCTTGCAACAGAAACATCTGGCATTCGTTACCTGGACTTTAGATCTATTTATTAGGCACTTCTTATAATGCTCCCTTAAAACCAAAGAATTTTGTAGAAATGAAATGTTTTCTTAAATCACTAAAGCTAAAGTTACACGTCTGACACTACCTCTCTAAAAACCTCCTTCTGCCCAGATTATCAAAACAAAGCTTTGGACTCCGGACCACTTAGCCTTGTCTGAGCCCAAACTTCCCAAACACCCAGATGCTGTGGAGATATTAAAGTTACTGCATAACAGCTGCTTCCAATCTTTTAAGACTTACTTGAACAGCTTACAAGTTCTTGTTAATTCACTTCTAATTTTACGGTGTTTTAGATAGGATCTAAGACATGTTAGATTTTGCAGATTAAGTATTTATCTATAGCGTTTGGTTTTTGCACAGTATGTCATCTACTTGAATCACCACTTGGCATCAACAATATTAAATCAGCACCCAATGTGCATTAGAGCACTCACACCCCCCCAAAAATAAGACTGCTACAGAGAAATTTTAATGTTAGTATCTCGACCAGTTCAGGTTTCACTGCATGTTTCCTCCATGCAACAGTGACTGCATGCAGCACGGAGACCACAGAGGCTGAGGTCACTGGTGCTAAGGATGAGAGCTTTGACTCCAGCCACGTCAGAAGAAACACACACACACACACACACCCCACACAACCACTCTTCCCTGCGAAACACAGAGAGCTTCTCCATTACAGACTGGCACAGTGTGAGGTGTAGTTAAAGCCAAACCAAGGCGGCCCAGTGCCGCACGCCAGGTGGCTGCGCTCAGCTCATCGGGCACCTTTACCCATTCGAACCATCCTGCTATCTCATCACTCTCATACGTATGCATATGTTTGTCAGAGTCCCTCACTTCCAAATAAAAGACTTTAGGAGTCAGGCAGATGCTGAATTCCTAAAAAATGAGATTTCAGACCATGATGTTACAGCAATATGGCAGAAGAACCTTTTTGACGTACACGTTTTGTACAAAGCTGTAAATGCTGCAGGAGGAGGCTCTGGGCTGTGAAGGCCATTACTGAGACTATCCCACCTTTGACAGAGCTCACACACACACTTGCTTCCAGAGCAGTCTCTCTTCAGCCCGTGAATGGGCACTCATGGCAGCAGTCCTCAGCAAAGCTCTGCCACGAAGGCTCCCGGGCTGCCTGCTCTACTCATCTGTGAGTCACAGAGCTCCTAAAGGGACGCTGCTCCGAACGCTTCCCACGGCCGCCCAGGGGAGCTGCCCATTGCTCTGAATGGCAGAGGGTTCAAGGACACAAACACCGCTCCTTTTCACACAAAGCTCTTGGAGAAAATGGAAGTTCTTGCATTTTGTCACTCCTTGAGGAAACGCAATACTTAGCAACACCTGCGCACAAGGAAGATCCAGATGAAGAAGTCACAAAGAGCCAGCTGCCCTTTATTGAAAATAAATGCTCTTTGAGAAAGGCCCGCCACACATTCTTTTGAGAGCAGCAGAACCTCCAGGAATCCCACAGCCAGAGCACTGAGCATCGCCCTCAGAACTGCACACATCAACAGAGCCTGAGCACAGGGTTGGGAAGAACCACACTTGTATTTGCAACGAGGTCTGGAATATTACAATCACAGAGACTGGGATTTCAAAGGCATGCTTTCTGGCGATAGAACAAGCTTGGATTTTTAAAAATACCATCATTATGTACAGCAAAATATGTGGTCATAAGACCAGCCTTAAACCAAGGCCTTGTTTATACAATTTCTGCACTGTCAGGACGTATTCTGGCTGGGAATGTAATTTTTCTTCCAAATCAATTACACTTTTGCAATTCTCACTGTGAAAAGAACTATATACCACCTTTGTATTGACACTGGTATAACATATTCCCACAGGGAAAAGGAATAAAAGAGTACCTTTATATTGATACAACATTTTTTTTCTAGTGTAGAAGCAAATATAGCTTTCATTATTCAGTCAAGTTAAAGCAGTGTGATTTTGTTTCTACTTGATAGACAAGGCCTATGTTTAACAAGCACCAGAACACTTCAGAGGATTTGGAAGATCAAACACCGAGTTCTACTTTTGTGCTGTCCTCACCAAGTCACAGAGAACACTGCACACCTCGATACATTCACAACTCCGATCAGAGCCACACCACGGTTTCTTTAATCCTTCGCCGTTTGACGAACACACCTTTTTGGCAAGAATTAAGAGTATAGCTACAAAGAAAACCCAGCACAGTCCAGAATTTCCTTAGTTGCCTTCAGCTGCTCTGCTGGGCTAAGGAACACGGGACGCTGTGTCCCACTGTATGCTACTTACACCCATTTGTACATCATTCCTCAATCACAACACAGGCAATAGGAAAACAGGAGGCACTACGAAACATGACAAATCTGCAGTCTGCTGCAGAGAACTGCTTTCACCAAGCTGAACGACTTGCTTTCGATACATCGATCTGGCACGAGGCTGGTTAGGTGCTGAACACTACACAGTCTCACTGAATTTAAGGCAAACGTTGACCATCGCAGTAGCTGAGATGTGAATTTATGGCAAATTTTCTTCCGTAAACTTCAGTGCAAGATATGCCTGCAGTCAAGCTTCCTTTCCAATGCATCATTTTTGTTAAAAGAAGCCCCTAATGCTCAGCATCCAATTGTTCAGTAGGTATTGGATGTTGCTAAAATCAATTGTAATTTTAATGTCATTCATCGGGGTGAATTTAACAAAAGCCACTTCTACCAGCGCTGAAGCAGAAAGCTTTCCTACTTAAAAGGAGAAACAATCAGATCTATGTTGGGCATCGAGGCAGTCAGATTGCACTGGCCTAACTAAAAGCCCTTCACGCAGCATTGCTCAATTTCTGCTTTCATGCAGTACGACAATTTCAAGTTTTCTTGGCACAGGGAAAAAGCTGCACTTCTTGTGTGCTAGTCTTTGAAAAGGAGCTAAGAGAGAAAGGTAAGGGAGATCAGCAAAGCCCAGGTGCCCCAGCTCACTGAAGGTACAGTCTCCTCCCACCCCGCTCCCTCTTCAAATCAGGAAACCACAATTTCAAGGCATTAAAATGCAAAGAGATGGAAAGCTGAGATGTCACAAATAACTTTCAGACTTTTGCTCTACCAAACCAGGCTGCCCATAGCGAAGAACAGGGTGCCAACCTTATGAGACATTGCTGTTACAACACGGGACCTTCCTACAGCTGCCGACTGAGCGCAGCGCTCGGCAGGGCTGCCTTCACACGGGATCAGGACCCAAACACAAATGAAAACCTGTGTTACTGTTCCACTGGCTGTTCAGTCATCTTGGGCTTTGGCATTTGGTCTTTTTGTTTAAACACCACCCTCAGCTAAATGAAGCCCCTCACGCCCTTCTTACTGTGACTACACTATGAACCAGGATTAACAGCCTACGTAATTAACGTTGAACGGTTAGCGTTTGTTCCACGTAATACATAAAAGCGCACAAAGTTGTTTTCTAAAAAACAGCATTTGTATTAAAATTCTTAAAATGGATAGACATCTCTTAACTGCAGGTCTGGAATCAAAAGACAGGTGTTAGAGTTTTCTTGGTACGTCGCAATGTTGAGATTTCTTCCGCTGCTGGCTGGAGGTTCACCCCACACAACAATCATCATAAAACACAAAGAAGGAGGCGGAAAAAAAACCCACCGCTCCAAGTCCCAAAAGGCTGAATTCTCACAAATTTGAAGTAAATGAAGGCCAAACTTGCAAGACGTGGAAATTACAGCTAAAAGGCTCGGGTGGAAATAAGAAATAAATCCCACCAACAATGGCCCCTTTTGTCCTGGCCTGTTCGGCACGATTACTGAGAGGGAACTGCGCGCGGGTTCGGAGTGGCAGAGAAGGGGATTCTGCGGCGCTCACAGGTTGGCACCGGCCGGCACGGGGTGCGGGGAAGGCACTGCGGGCACGGGGTGCGGGGGAGGGGGGGGGGCTGTGCCGCTCGGAGCGGGGCACTGCCGACCCAGACAGAGCCCGGGAGGGAAGGAACGCCCCTCTCACCCGCCGGAGGGGGGGGGATAAAATAACGAAATCACACACGCACGCACACCTAAACATTGTGCAGACTTGTAACGTTTTCACAGCTGATCGCAAAAAAAAAAGAACCATTAAAAAATAACGCCCTGCCACTCTCCTGCAGACCCCCTGTGATACAGCAGGTAAACAAAATAGAGAATCCTTTCACAGGCGGTCGCGCCGCCCCGCGCTCCGTCCGGTCCCGGTCCGGGTGGACGCGCCGCTCCCCGCGCCGCGCTCCACCTTGCATAGCGTGTCGGGGCGCCCGGGCCGGCCCCGCTTCGCCGCGGCCCGGAGCGGAGCAGCGCGGCGTGGCGGGCGGGAGGCGGCGCCCCGTGCCCGGCCCGGGCGGTGCGGGGCCGGTCCGTCCCCGCGGGCGCTCAGAGGATGGCGCAGGCGGCGCAGCAGGGCTCGTCCCCGCCGGGCTGCGCGGCGTAGTTCATCTGGCGGACGATCTCGGCGAACAGCTCGTCCACCGAGGCTTTGTGCTTGGCCGAGGTCTCCATGAAGGGGCAGCTCCACTCCTCGGCCAGCGCCTTGCCCTCCCCGAAGGACACCTCCCGCTCGCCCTCCAGGTCCACCTTGTTGCCCACCAGGATCATGGGCACCCGCTCGTACCGCTTGACGCGGATGATCTGGTCCCGCATGGGCTTTATGTCCTGGAAGCTCTGCTGGTTCACCAGGCTGTACACCAGGATGAAGCCCTGCCCGTTCTTGATGTAGAGGTCCCGCATGGAGGCGAACTGCTCGGTGCCCGCCGTGTCCAGGATCTCCAGCACGGACGGCGAGGAGTCCACCTCGATCTCCTTGCGGTAGAAGTCCTCGATGGTGGGGTCGTACTTCTCGATGAACGAGCCGGTGACGAACTGCACGGTGAGGGCGGACTTGCCCACGCCGCCCGAGCCCAGCACCACCACCTTGTACTCCCGCATGGCTCCGGAGCGCCTCCCGCGCGGCGCCGCCGCTCTCCGCCCGCCCTCGCGGAGGGAAGGAGGGCCGCTCCCGCCGGCCGCTCTCCGGCGCCGGGGCGGAGAAGGGGCGGCCGCGCCTCGCGGAGCCGCGCCGGGCGAGCCCCGCCGGGCAGCGCCGCGCCCCGGGGAGGGGCGGGCAGCGGGGCCTGCGCGGAGAGGAGGGGAAGGGGCGGGGAGCGCCCCGCGGAGCGGCCCTCCGCCTGCGGCCGTCCTTCATTGGCGGCTTCGGAGCGCGGCTCCGCCCCGCCGCCGCGCTGCTCGGAGTGCGGGAATGGCGGCTCCTGCTGCCCGCCCCTTGTGGGCGGCACCGCCCGGCTACCGCCCCGCCAGCCCGCCGCCGCTATCGGCCCTGCGCGGGGCCGCGTGCTCCCGTTGCTCGTAGCGGGGGCCGCTCCTCGGGCACCGGCGCTCCTCAGGGCGGGTTGCGGTGCCCCGAGCCCCGTCAGATCCGCCCGGGCCCCGAGCGGCGCTGGGCTGCGGGCAGTCGCTCCCCGATGCCGGAGCGTCGTGCCGCGCTGTGCCGCGTCCCGAGGGCTGAACGCCGCTCACGGCGAGCCTTGTGTGTGCCTCCCCCGTGTGCCTCCCCGTGTGCCTCCCCGCCGTGCCGCCCTGCAGCCCCGCACGCCCCGTCCGGCCGCGCCGCCCCGGCTGGGCGCGTTGAGTGGCGGGCGCTGCCTGTTCGTACCGGGCTTCCTTGCGCTTTCTGTCCAGAGGACGTTCCTTTCAAGGAAATACCGACGGTTATTTTGGCACCGCAAGGTTTTACATTTACATCCCACCCGGTTCCTTACTGTTCTCAGCCTTTATCCAAGTGTTTGCAACGTGTGGCTCCTTCTGACCGCAGCCTGATAGCCGATGTCACTGGAGCACACCGGTGGGTGACACGGGCTATGGGAGGCAAAGTACCCAAAATAAACCATCATCACTGTCACTGAACAGTGCTGCGTCCATCTGTGGGTCAGTGCCACACCTCTAGCCAGAAGCTCACACCAACCCCCTCCGCTGTTGTTCATGTGGGTGTTTGCCAACCACGAGCACAGAGCTGCACTCCCCCAGCCCTGCTGTGCCATCGGTGGCTGCTCAAACTGCTCCTGCTGCCAGCACCGCCCAGTGCTGTGCTGCGGCTGGAGATAAGGGATGTCGCGTTCACCCAGGATAGAAGCAAAGTGTTGGGCTGCGGCCTTCTTCAGGAGGTCACACACCTGAAACCCAGCACTCTCAGTCTGTAGGAGAGGTCATGTCCCATGTCTGTCTGCTGGGATCCCCCAGCACTGCCAGGCTGCTGCCTGGTTCCACAGGTGTGTGCTCACCTGCAAGCATGGGCTGCAGGTTGGTCCTAGGCTACACCTGCAGAGCTGTACAGAGCAAGCTGGAGATGGATGGAATATTTTAGAGTCATAGAATCACAGAATGGTTTGAGTTGGAAGGGACCTCTGAGGGCCGTCAGTCCAATGCAATATGGGGACACCCTCAGCTCTGTCAGGTTTCACAACCTGTCCAGTCTGCAGGGTGTCTGCAGGCTGCAACTCAGAGACAAAATCATGTTCTGCTGACTCATTTTGCTGGCAGTGCTATGAAGTTTGGGGGACAAATGTGTTTGTTGACTTCCATCTTCTCTATAACAAACCCACACATAAGTTACTATACTTCATTTTCTAACATGGCAGGAACAGCTTTTATAAAGACCGGATAGTGATGATGTTGTATTGAATCAGCCCATTAAATCCCAATTTGCTGTTGAGGTGGGTTTTTTTTTTTTTTGGTTGTTATTTTCCTTTTGTTTGTTTGTTTTTAGTGACAATAGAATTTCAGTATCTGTTTTTTTCATTCTACTCAACACTATTGATTGTTGTTACTTCTGAAGAAGAAAATGCACTGTGTTCAGAGCAAAACCTGCTCCTTATGTGTCGACATCTCAGAAATGTCACATATAAATCAGCATAAAAAAGCACAAACGTGGTTGGTTGGCAGTTTACCATACGATATTTACATGTACAGCCAGCTCTTGCTGTGTGGAATAACCCTGCTCGCTCGGTGAACCAGCAGACAGGTAATGCTTATTTCTCTGCATAACGTAGAAGATCCAGCCGTTCGCTTTTCTGTTTGTCCATACAAGTATCAGCGTCACACAGCTCCAAAGCAGTGCTGGTTGCTCTTTTTCAATTTCCCCCAAATCTATTTAATTATAGGTAAAGACTAAATCAGCAACTCATATGAAACTGTAAATTCCAGTACCACGAAGGTTCATCAGTCTCTGATGCCTTCAAGACGTGACACCCTGAGCACAGGTGCAGCTGTTCTGCTACAACCATCCGGCCAGCTCCCCTGAAAATATGCTCAGAATTCGGTGTGTGTAAATGTGGTTGTATCTGAAACTCCTTAAAGCTCACGTGGCAAGAGATGAGAGCCTTCGTTTAGGCTTTCTCTGGCTTCTGACAGTGCTGCTCACTTAAATCGTTTTTATTAATACACAGGAAATGCTTCTGACTGAATGAGTTCATCTGAGATCGGAGTGCTCTGCCACTGACTGGGTAGGTGTGGTGGCAATTGAACTGTAAAGCTACAAACAATACTAAGTATATTTTGATATTCAAGCTTAATGAGATAGTAGTGATTTTAGTAACAATTTTGTAACGTGTTTTCAGGTAATGGAAGAGGCAGCTCCGTACATATTTTTCTTCCTTTCCTCCGTGGCAATGTGACAAAATGACTTCATGCCCTTTTTTTGCCCTCAGTTACGCAGTAATAGCTTTTAGATCCATGGTGTAAACAGGCCCTACAACAACCATCAGTGATCTGTGGCAGGAATAAATCCTTCTGGTGTGGGTTTTGCTTAAATGCTTATGGGCCACTGGGGCCGAATACAAAGAACTGAAGAGGGAATTGGTACATTTTTAGCAGCGCCAGTGGGACTGAGGAATTAATTCAGCACTGCTGTTGATAAAACCTGATGGCAGTCCTGGTTGAGGAGCACTGCGCACAGAGCCGTCTCACTGCCTGGCCCTGAACTGCTCCCTGGACATATCAGAGATCTGCTTCTTTTCACTTAGGCTGTGACTTAGAAGGCTCATAATCCAATATAGAACAGTTAAACTGAGAGGATTTGGAATCATTTGGGAAGAGCTGCTCTTCTCCCACTCCCATACAGCCAATATGTAAGACGAGTATTAGCAGCGTACCATAAGTAAAGGGAGAATACTGATTGAGGGAAGCTAAGAAGATGAAATAATCTCCAAGAGTTCAAAGTACAGAATTACACTAAGTGTTTTCTGGCATTGGACAAATCTGGAGAAAATGTTCAATGTTTATTCATTTTGAATACATGAATGTGAATGATCTGTGGGCCTGAACTAGTTTTCAATTCAGTGGCATACAGAAGTCTTCACTGGGATTCGCCGGCTGTTTGATTGTGCACTGCTTAGGGAGCTGAGGAAGGAGAAGATGACCTTCTGAGCACAAATATGTAAGTATTCATTTTAAAGTATTTGCCATTTTTCGTAATGATTTGGAAAATGCTACAATTTTTAAGATTTTGTCTGCTCACGTGCTCAGTAATACCTCCCCTCAGCCCTTTATTAGCTGTGCAGGGCTTTGGTTGGTATTCAGTTACATCCGCCACAATAATGTCTAACACTATTAGTACTGACATTCAGTGTGTCTCTTTTGCTCTGGAACAACGCCTTCATTTCTCCTTATCGAAACTGGTTTGCTCCACTTGAACAGTGGTACTGCACTCAGCATTGTGCAACAGAGATGCTCAGCCCTTACAACCTGCTGCCAAACTTTGACCAGAAGTCAGCAAGAAAGATTTACGCGGCTGGTATGAATTTGTTTTAGGAATAGCAGTGGAAGCTGCTGACTGCTTCTGAACGTGTGACCACATCCTGGCAATGGGTGATTGAAGATCTCTTTCATCCTATCTCTACTTCTCCAGCTTCATCCTTCCTCTTTCCAATAACAGGAAGTCAGAGTGCTGATCAGAAGGCAGTGCAACAGATTGCTGTAATAAAGCATGCTGCTCTCATGCTCTCCCCCCAGAAATGTGCAAAAAGTGGACATTTTGGTGTCCTAATTATGTGATTGTCAATAACATTGCACTTGTTTTCCCACAGAAGGTTCATATTTAAGAAAGAAAAGAACAGAAAAGAACTTTCAAATTCTTCACAAAAAAAAAAAAAAAATGAACTGGCATTTCAAGAGAATTTAAATTAGCAGTAGTTGACTTGTCTACACCTTGAGTTAATCCCAATAATTCTGAGTGTGAATAGGTATCTAAAACAAGGCTGCCTAATTTCTGTTTATCTTTATCCTGTGCTACAAACTATTCTTATTCTAAAGCGAGATGCCCGCATATGGAGCTAAATGAAGTAGTCAATTAGGGTAATTCCACGGGTAGAGTCGTTTTATTGTAAGTGAAACCGTCCCATCTGTTCCACCCGGGTAATCAGAAAGAAACCGATAAGACGAATCGCACGGTGACTCTGGGCAAAGGTACTGCCTAATGCTGCAGCGTGAGCAGTGCAGCAGCGTCAGCTGCTTTCTCCCCTGACTCACCCAGCAGAACAGTTCCCCCCTGCCTGCTCCTCGCTGAGCAGGAAGGGCTTTGTGCCCTCATCCTGCTGCCTGCCTGCGTGAGCAGGGCCAGCACGCAGCTCTGGGAAACGTGGCCTGGCTGGGACTGCATGCTGCAAAAAGAGCTCTTACAAATGGGATACACACGTCTCATTTTCACGAGACATAACAGCTACTAGTGAACATGAAGAAATAGTAAATAAAGGGTGGTTAATTTGTAGAAAATAAAGGTTGTTTTCTCCAACAGAAGTCCTGCCAGAGATCACTGCTGTAAGTACAGCCCGTGCTGCCACAGCTCACGGCACGGGGTCTCATTAGAACTGATGTAATGATGCCAGCTTAGTTTGCTGTGTTCCGTTTCTTGTTTGTATCCCACTCATAGATACGATGTTTCTAGTAAAAGCATGCACCATACATCAAAGTTCAGGTCTATTTCTACAGATCTTCATCCCATATCAATTCTCTTTTGGGGCATTTACCTCCGAAGCATCTTAAATACG